ATGGGTTTTAGTCCTGACTTGATAAATAATTTAGCCTTGTTTTCAGTATATATATCTTCTCTTTTTGCTGATGTTCTTTGGGGTCTCTCAGACTTCATCTTCCCTCTCATAAATCTACATTTACCCATAATTACTCACTTTGGTGTACTACTAAGCAAGGCTATCTTTGAGAGTCTGGTTTTTAATGACTTTTGATTTGAAAAGTTGACAGGTTGAAAGTCCTTATCTACTCTGATCTCAGAGGAAATTAGGTACATAAATATCTCTGTGGAACTGAGCCATCATGGCTGAGCTGCTAACAAAACTGTTTCATCCGTAAAGAAAATAGTCCTCTTCAATAAAAGAGACTGAACGACAACTGAAATTGCATCATTAAAAAAAACTATGACTATGAACAAAATTAGTAGTATAACCTTACTCTGGTCTTGAAATACTAGCTGAAGGGAATTTCTAAGTGTTTTAGATAAGTATGATAAGCCAGGAGGAATATTCCTTTGTTTCTTTGGAGAGAAAAATGAACTTTTTGGATCATATTATAGTTCTTTGCCAGACAGGGTGTGAAAGACAAATGTGCAACTCCATCAGAAAAGATTTCTGAATTCAATAATGCTGGTGTAAACAGGAGAACTTTATTGCTAACTGTTAGATCAGAAGAGAATAATATGTGGTGCTTTTAATGGTGGCAAGCTAACTCTGCTTTATCAAGAAGTTATATTCTAGGACGAGTGGCAATTAGTATGTTTAATGATACTGAAGGGGGAGCAAACCGGGGAGATCATTTGTTTTGGATTTGTCAGATTTACGCAATGGATACTTTATTTATACAATAAAGAGAGAGAAAAAAATTGTGGTAGGAGCTAAGAAATTTAGTGTAAGCAAGTATCAGGTCATTTTTAAAGAAAATACTCCCTTTCTGGCTCATTATAACCAGTCTAAGTCACTAAGTCAGTGACTTAGTCAGTGTCAGTGTCACTAAGTACAGTGAAGATACCACTAAGAGACGTCAGTTAAGGAATGTAAGAAATGGCTCAAGATTCAAGGAATAAACAATTACAGTTTTCTCCCATGGATTTTGTTTTGTTTGTTCTCGCAATTCCTTTAAGAATGTAGGGATTTTCTGTATCCCTTCTTACATTTACAGAAAATTTAGAACTGGTTTTAGAGGAACTTTTATTACATATGTTCAATCTCACCTATCCTTTTTCCTTGTGCAGATTTGCCTGTTGTATTTCAGGTTTTTATACAGTTAAACCCACAATTTCTAGAGTTACATTATCATTAACACAGTCAAACTTGCTACCAAATGCAAAAGCAAAGAAAGAAGAAACGTTCTTTTTACATCTATGGTATTTTTAATTGTTATTTTGTGGTGTTGTATACAAGTATTTTGAGGACATGTCATTGTCAGCACTATCTGTAACTGAAGAGAACTAGATCATATTTGACAAGATTATTAGAATATTTTTTTACAATAATTGAACACTTCCTTAACTGATTGTTTTGGTGGTATTTGTTGGGTTTTTTTAACTAGAAAACTAAAAGTTACATGATAAAAAATTAAGCAAACAATGAAAGGGATGGCACTGTTTACTTCAGAGAGGTGATACATAAATGTACTCAGGGTATTTATTTCATTTATGGAAGTTTTAGATTATCAGGAAATGTTTACAGAAAAGATATCCTGTTTGCACCTTCTCTCTTTCCAGTTGCACACACTCAAAATCACATTACAAATGTTGATCTAGAAGATGACTACCCTGGTCCCCCATGCCTGTTCTTCATTTTGGGAAAGCTAGTATTGAAGAGCCTTTAAAGATGTCCCTCTCTTCTTCTGAGGTGCAAATTCAGTATGACTCTAGAGACTAGCATACTTTTTTTCAGAGTAAAAGAGTACTTTAATGAGACACTTTCATTTTCTGAATATTTCTATTCCATAAGAATAATACTTTATGATAACTATTGCTAATGCATACAAGAACACATGAAACTTACTGATGGAGGGAAAATGGTTTGGAATCTGTTTGTGGCCTCATGTGTGACTTGTGTAGCAGGCATGGTATTTTGTGCGGCTGAGCAAGTGGCATCATTCTTATTCAGTAGTAGAAGCTGGATTTCTTTCGGTTTTAACTGGGATTCTGAAATGCAACTATATTGGTCATATCTGCTGTCATGTATTCAAAATAGTTTGTCCGTCCAACTTAAGCAGCTAAAGATATCTCACATAAACATATAGAGATTATAAGATGTTTTTCCATAAGAGTTGCCAATTTGGTTGTAAGTTTAGATTTTCAGCTTGGCCCTAGTAGAAGAAGACTTATTATTTCCAAAAGTCTGTGCTATGACTTGTAGTGATTTGACTTTTTAATACAGGAGTTGATGAGTAATTGGAAATACTCAAAGTCTTGAGCACGCATTGTAGCTGTTTGTATTAAACAGTAACTTGCTCATGCCTTACCAACTTAAATGCTGTGTCGCCTTCACACAGTGAGCATATATCCATGTTACTGTACATCTGGGAATCTATGGTCTAAAGAAAAACCAGATAATAACAGCTTTTGGACTGGTGAAGTGGTGGTACACATGTAAACTAGTAGCAGTCTGCAAAGTAGCTTTATTTAAAAGTATATACTTATGCATATAATTGGGCAGTATGTGCTAGATGATGTAACTTTTGAGGAATTATCTGCAGCTATAGAATAATTAAGTCGAAAGGATTTTTAGTGGTCTGTGATATTGAATGTTCAGATTCTGGATGAGAATTAATGAGATCTAAGTTCACTTGTCTGTTTTACCACAGACCTTGTGTGCTCTCATGTAGGTAACTTCCGGATTCTGGATGAGAATTCATGAGATCTAATTCACTTGTCTGTTTTACCATGGACCTTGTGTGCTCTCATGTAGGTAACTTCCTTTTTTGCAACTTATTTTTTTTTTTTAACCTATAGTGCACAAGAATATTTCCCCACTTAGTTCTTTAGTGATCTTAAGTTCTACGAGGATGGCATGTGTGTCTCCTTTTTCTGAATGAGTATGGCAATAAACACAATTAGGCCTATCTTTTGACTGTTCTTCTAAAAAATTATTCCAATATATGTTACTGGTTTTTGGCTATAAGCTTCAAACTGTGAGTGGCATGTAATATTAAAATGGCATAAGTACAGATAATTCTTAAATTTATGAATTGCCAAGCTTAGAAGCAGTCAACCAGTTCTTAACCCAGTGTTGATGTACACAACATATTTCGGCATAAATGCTGAAAATAATGACAGCAACGGGTACTGGACGTAAAGCAGAACCAGAGCAACCCTGAACCTGTGGTCAGCCATGTGGAAATGCTTAAAGCCAAGATTGTCTCTCCAAGAGGGAAGTAGAATTGTCCTATTGAAATATATATGCATAGGTGTTTTACACTTTGAACATCTACAGTCACAAGTCTGTGAGTGATTGTGCTGCTCCAGTTGCAGGAAAAAGAAGCTTGATGAAACTTGTTGGTCCTTTTTGAAAGGTGACAATTTTATTGTTCTTAGGTGTGTGGATAACTGCACAGAGGTGGTGAGTGACACAATTTTGCTGTTGTGTCAAAATTGAGAAACAGTAGTATGCAGTGAGACCTGAAATCAACCTAGGATGTACTGGAAGTGAAAAAGGGTTCTTGATGGGAAGCTAGAAGGAAATTCAAGTTTTCTAATCTTACAGTATATTTTAGGGAGGTATTTTCAGAATTCTCAGATGTGTACTTTATGCTGTCTCCTTTTTCTTTTTTCATGAAGATAGAGCCAAGCTTATATTCAGCTTTTTTTTCATTCTTTACTTGATGTACCTTTTTTCAGAACTGCCTCTTGTTGAGTCTCCTTTTTGTAACCAAGAAGCAAAGTAAATTGTTATCACGTATGTGGTACGTGTTGATGGTGGGGTGGGCAAGGGGTAACACCCTGATGCTTGAGTCAGGAACGGCATAGTCTTAGTAAAGGACAGGGGAAAGAGTTCTTCCAGTTGTATTTCATGTTTCTGTTTATATGGCTTTCAAATTTGATCTTTTAGCATTCAGAAAACTCTCAGCTATTCTGGATCCCTCTTTCCAACTTCTGTTTCTGGTAATTGCTGTTTGCAATTGGACTCTATTAAGGTCTTCTCTTTAAAGGGAAGTGGTTGCTTGTGTCTTTGACATGGTTCCTTAAATTCTGATTCACCTCCTGTTTTGTTTATTGCTGTGTTCCTCTAGCAAAGTTTCTCAAACTTAAATATTTATAGTAGGTTGTAAGTCTGGTCAATATCTCCTTTGTTTAATATTTCTATTTAACTGTTGACTGATCCTTTTCTCTTCTTGTGGAAACTTTTTTCCCATATAATCTTAGTGTTGCCTGCTTTTTCCCTTGGGCATTTTCTTTCAGTCTCCACTTTTTTTCTTAGGAGATATGATAGTAATATGATATCCTGCTATTTTCTGTTTTTCTTGTAGCATTTCTGGAGGTGCTTCTCTTGGTGTATAGCAGTTGCTGTTGTATACTACTGTCATATCTGTGGCAATTAATTCTTTAATTTATCCAGCTTCACACCTGGGCCAAAGAATTTATGCTATAGACAATGAAGGAAGGGGCCTGAATAACTGGAAGGTGTCCAGTTTCTGTTTTCTGTAATGGGACAGTTTTAGGATCCTGCAACTATTGTATGTTCGTATGTGTCTTGCTTTTGATAGAGGTTTTATTACTGCCTAAAATACTTCTTTATGGGGTTTAAGTGTGGCTTCTGATTGCTTGTTTAATGATTATTAATTTTTGTGCAGTTAAATCTTAGCACTAGGGAACTGCAGGTGTATGTGTGGGTGTGGCCCTGTTGTGTATATTGAAATAATTTTATAGTATTACCAGCTAACGTGTTGAAAACTTGACATCAGCAGTAATTTAAAAGAATTAAGCACCTAAGCAGAAGGTGAAAAGACTCTCTAAAAGCTGTTTTTCTCGTGGGTCTTTTTAAATTATGTTTTTTCTTTCTGTTTCCAGGTTTTCTCAAATAATGATGAAGCCCTTATTAACAAAAAGCTACCCAAAGAACTTCTGTTAAGGTAATTCTACATAATGTGTTAAGGAGTAAAAAACTGAGGTGGTTTACAGGCTGTTAAATGCTATTCATTCTTTCTTAAATCTGTCTTGAAACAAATAGCCAAGTATCTGATTTAATTATTGAATTTTTGATCTTGTTGTCTTTTGTGTTTTAATGTGTTCAAATTATACTGCACCCTGGAATGTGTTATTTAATAGTGATTTTTTTTTTTTTGCATATCAAAAAAAGAAGTGAAATAAAACATCCTCCAAAAGACTTTGGTTTCCAGAGTAGTCAGCTCTTCCACAATGCACAATGTTTTATTTGTCTGAAGAGCGTATAATCCTTTCTCTAAAATAGTTCACACCCTTTGTGTCATGAACATAAAATGTAAATTCAACTTTAAAGCTTTCAAAAAGTCACTTCAGTGAAAAGCCCTGCCTGTTACCATTACTGCCAGTCTGTGTTCCATAAGGTTGAGCCAATAAGAGGATTTTTTATTTTTTACCGTAGTCATTTGGCTAGTCATAAATTTCATCAGCTTGCTGGTGTGTGACTCGATCAACTTTGCAGGAGTTAGCTACAACACCAAGATCAGTAAATTCAGCCCTTGGTTGAGACGCTGATGCATGTCTTCACACACTCATCTTGCTGAAAGTTGATTTCTAGCAAAGTGTAAACTGCCAGATGTGGAGGTGCTGCTCAACTGGATGTGACCACTTAAGAGTTTGTTAAAAGTTAAAATTGAACCAGCTCAACAACGTCTTCTGTACCTTCATATAGGTTTTGTTACAGCCCAGTCTTTGAAGGGAAAGAAAGAAAGAAGAAAAGGGTGTTCACTTATAATGGTGCAATTACCAGATTTTAGTGATGGTATCATTAAAATTGAGCTGATGATTTAATACTCTAAAGAGATGTTTGGGTTAGCTTGTATGTATGTCATAGCTTTCTGTTTGAGTTGAAGTGGGACAACGTCTCAAACAATGGTATTTTGCATCTTGTGTCTGATGAAAGTGCTCTTGAAACATTATGACTTGTTTCAGTGTCTGTACTATCACAGTGCTCTCTTGGTGGTATTACAGAAGCAGTCTGTTGTTAAAGGAATTGGATTTTAAAAGGGTTTTCATTTTTGTTCAGAAACACTTGTTCCATATGGTGACAGTGTTGTAAATTAGACTAGTAGAACCGTTCAGAAAATGTGATTAAAAGGGACATGTCACTGAATGATGCCCTGAACAGAAATTTTAATAACTTTGCTTTGTTGCACTCAATGCCACACATGAACTACAAGATAAAAGTCAGTTTAATATGCTGCTTCCTTAGCAAAGTTTCATCATCTACAAGTGGTTCTTTTCTAGCAGTAGGACTCTCCAAATATCTGTGGAAGTTACTTTCCTTTTCACTAGTATGGGTACTAAGTATCCCATTTATGTAATCCAGCAGCATTTGTTGATGTGGTTTAGGCAGTGAAAAGTATCATGCACTGAGATAATAAAGACATCTATGCTAATTACACAAGTAGCATCATAAATTTACATTAATTTGTTGAGGTTTACTGTGAGAATTCTTGCCTCTGACTTCTAGGGTCAGTTTCTTGAATTGTGTGTTCCAACACCAAATCTGGTAAGTTCTTTAAAAAGTTATATAGGGACGAGCTTGCTTGTTGTATTGAGCAGGATGTTTATTCCAATATCTGTCTTGCTATACAGCACATTTTAAAGAACTCAGCAGGAAAAAAAAAACACAAAATGTGCAAATAATTGGACAGTTTCAGTGGCTTAGCTGTTAGCTCTTGTATTCAGAAAACAAAACGTGCAAGTAATTGGACAGTATCAGTGGCTTAGCTGTTAGCTCTTGTATTCAAGATAACTTCTTACTGAGCAACTCGGAGGATATATAGCCTCACCTTGGATTCGACCAACTGAGGAAGCGGGGACAGCTAGGCACTGGCACTACACTAACTATTGTGGCAGTGGCTAAAGAAACCTTTTGCATGGTTGAAGGGCTTCTTGGGGCTGGAATGGCAAAATAAAATAGTCAGGCAAAGCACAGAGAGAATTGATTGAGCCAGCCATCTAGGTCTTGTGTATGGATGTCCTCTTTGCAGTTGCATGGTGATCTACCAGAGTAGCATTGCAGCTGTAGCCAGAAGAGTTGATGATCTGAGAAGCTGAATTGGGACAGTAAACTTTTTCAGTAAAGATCACCATAATCTCATGCTGAATGCTGGGACTCAGGTGATATTTCTCTCTGGTTATGGCCAGACTAAAGTCCAAGTTTTGCAACACTCACAATATTGTGCTGACCATCGGGGATTTGGAATGGGTGGGAGAGACAGACTGTAAACGTCCTTTTGGAATCGTATTGCTGCAGAGACAAACCCACAAGGCCAGAGGCAGAGCATTTTAGAGAGACTGTTATGATGGCATATGGGTCTGAGTTCTTGTGCAGAGTGTAGATAGGAAAATTTAGGCACACAAACCTGGCTGTCTAAAGGATTGTCAGTGGGGAATTTGTTTGATGTTCCTGCACGTAAACGCTTTTGAAAGAATGAGCCTGAATGTCTTTCAACACCTGGAACAGTTTATGCTCGTGCTACAACATGTTTTAAAATTGTCTTGCTGCATGGTTATGACAGAAGAGATTAAATATTGCAGTGTAATTAATATCCTAATTATTTTTACTATATTAATGTGCCTAAACCACGACATCTACCTTTTAATTAAAAGGAGAGTAAACCAGTTGCAGTGGAAACATTTTGCTCATCATGCTGGAACTGAATAGTAACTACTGTTGAAAGTGTAATCGAATGCACTTCATTTTCTTGCTTGCTTATATCAGATATGAATGAAAACTGTTGGAAAGTACTACAGCTCTTTTTAAAAATAATGTAAAATTTGGCACATGGAAAAGGGGTAGTTAATATCTTGTTACAAACATCTGGAAATGAAATGTAAGCACAATTCCTTTTATTGCGAGAATTGGTCTTTTTGTCATTTGCATCAAGTATTTAAACTTCTGTAATCTGACTATAACAAGGAATCAATATTTTTCCCTCTAAAATTGAGAAACCTTTTTCTGATGGTAGACTGTGGAAATACTACCACTAAAATGTATTGATTTTTTGCTATAGTTGCATACTCTAAAGTTGAACAAAGTCAGTCCTTGGTCTTACACTGCAGTTCTTACTCTTTCTCACTATTATTATTAATCTGTCGATCAGAATTAGATTGGAAGGTTGTCAGTGCAGTGTCCTGTCTCTTGCACATTTTCTACAGAGTATCTACTATACTTGTAAATAAATGACCGAAACCCTCAGCTTCTCAGGCAGGAAGCTCATTTGAAAGATACAAAACTAGAGTATTTTTTTCCTTCTCAAGTAGACTCAGGTAACTGGGCAGAGGAGGAAGATGTTATCTGACTAATATGGACAGTAGTAGTTTTGAAGAAGAACCTGGTTTGGAGGGACCAGATATGCTTTAAGGTAGGTAGGCTAGCTTGTGTGGAGAGGGAGGCATTTCCTATGAAACTTTTTCTGCTTTATGGGCATTTATTTCTATTTGTCACATTGGAGTAATTTTTTTTGCTGTGGAAGAAATGGACTGCTTTGATTTGTAGTACTGTTCAAGCTAAAAGAAAAATTATCACCCTGATAGGTGCTGCGGTGATATTAGTTTGCAGGTTGGCAAGGAACACTCTTTTCCCTCTGCTCTTAATATATTGTAAGAAGTGAAAGGTTGAATAAATGCTCAATTGCATGATGTTTGAGTAAGAATCCTGCAGAGGTATTATAAATCCTGTAATTTAAAAAATGTTTTCAAACAATTCATCTTTTTCTTTTTCCTAGCCTGTGTGTTTATGGAAAAGCATAATTTGATTACAGAGTACATTGGTTGTGGATTTGCGTTAGTGTCTGAAGTTAATAAACACATATCTATCATCAGAAGAATCAGAAATGAAATCAGAGAGAAATTATTGCATTTGTAACGGTAACAACTTTTCCAGTAAGATTTCACAGCCTTGAAGATGATAATCTTTTTTCTTTTTTTTCCTTGTGTATTGCTGGGGAAAAAAAAATAATGGATTTTTAAAGCTACAGTATGAGTTTGAAAAGCATTGGAAATAAAAAAACTGCAGTGAATGTAATTAATATTAGAATGCTCTGACTTTCCAACAGCTTCCAAAAAATGGTTTTATGTTTTCTGCTTGACAAAAAATAATAATACGTGTTTGAAAATGGAAACATAGTCAGTGCTTTTGGCACTTAGAAGGACAGATAACCTTTGTTCATTTGTATTTTAACTGCTAACGTTCTGTGCTATAAGATTTTGCACAAAACTGGCAAACTTCAGAAACAGAGATGTTATATTTCTTTCAGCCATTTCAACCATTTTCAGTTCCTTTCTGCCTACAAAGTACCAACTTCATAAATTGTACCACAGATGTAGAATCTCGCATGAGTTCTGCTATAAGACATACATATGGGGTGTATTTACTGGAATAATAGATTGTAGTCATCCAACTCAAAGTTTGAGTGCTCAATCAGATTTAAAAGAGGATCTCAAATTAGGAGAGGAACCCTGGAGTTGTGTTCTAGCAGGAGCTTTTCTTATATGCAAGAATATGCAGCTTGTAAGTTGGCTAAGGAATACTGCACACTGCTTTTTGTTCAGCTTTTAGTGTGTTCATTATTGGAGAGAAGAAAAAATACCAGAAACTTAAAATTAGTCAAGTCAAACATGGTATTTGGTATATTTTAAGTGATGCTTTACTATCTGTATGCTTAATTGTGGGAGAAATAGAAAAGAAATGTAAGTGAAGGTTACAAGAAGAAATTGTCATGCCATTGGTATTTCTTATCTAGGTACTTAAATGGCCCACAATTGCAGTAAGATTTGGCTGCTGTATCTTAGTGTACAAAATACTAACTGGTGAGTCAAAGAACTGAAAAATATAAACATGAATCTGGAACTGTTCTTAGTTGGTAAGAATTTTGTAAGCAGACAATCAATGCCTGTATTT